CACCAAACAATGTTCCACAATGAGGGCTCCTGTGTTCCCTGGCCTTGAGTGGGTATTTCCTGGTCATGCCTATGGCAGAGTCACCCTTTTTCTACTCCTGGCTGTTCCCCAGAGCTGCCTGCCAACTTTTGCTCTCCTTATTCTTGTCCCCACTGATAAACTAGACAGGTGACGGGAGAAGCATTTACAGTTCTTGCACTCTGATTGTTCTTTGGCAGATCATTTGCAAAACTGACCACCAGAATATCTCCCACTCACATGTTCTTCTAGCTCCTTGTGTTCCTCCACCAAGCTGTGGGATCTATTTCCTACTTCTGGAATCTGGGAAGGTTTGGGACTTGCCCACAATCAAAAGAATATTGCAAGATAACTTCCAAGGCTGGTCAGAAAGATAGTTTCTACCTTGACCTCCCTCGCTTCGGAATCTTTGAGGCCCAATGAGGAACTCTCAGTGCCCCACCACCACCCTCCTCAGGCCACAATGCAGAGAGAACACCCAGGCCATAGGTAGATGCCCAGTCAACAGCTGCCTCTGAAGTCCCAGGTGGCAGCCAGCATCAACCACCAACTCTAGCAAGCCTTTGGAAGATGCAAACACTTGGGTTGCATGTCACCTGCTGAATGCCAGGACAATGCCAAAGAGCCTGGAATCACAGACTCCAACCCTAGGGCAAAGGATGAAAAGGAGGCTGATGCAACTGGTGCAGTGTTACTAAAACATGAACATCGATAATAAGCTTGTTCATGAGGACTACCTGTGTCCGCCATCACCACCCCGTACTGGGACTGAACCCAGAGCCTTTGCATTGAGCTGCATACCCGGTCCTTTTCAGATTTTTTTTTTAAATTTTGAGACAGGGTCTTGATAAATCTCTTAAATTGATGGGCTCAAACTTACCATCCTCCAGCATCAGCCTCCCAAGATGCTGGAATTATAGGGCATTATACCTGGCATGAACACTCTCCTTCTTAAAGGTATTTGTGATCAGTCTGTGCTCAAAACTTACAGTTCATACATGAAGACACTTGATCAAAGTAGGGGCTAAAGATCCCCAAACTTGCAAAGTTCAAGACCACATGGAAAAGCTGGATTAGAGAATTTGATTGGTCTCTAAGGTCAAGCTGGAGGCTGTCAGCATTTCCCTAGTTCAGGTTTTGAAACTGCCAGAGGAGAGAGCTGAGTTTGCTAAATCCTGTGCAGAGCATTATGTGTGACCCTTGAGGCCTGTACACAACAGCCAGGAAATGGACTTTCAGAGGAGACCTGTTCCCAAGGCTGGGAAGGGGGAGCCAGGTGATGGAGAGAGGATGGTAGAATGTACAGAGGTGCTGCTGGACAGGAGGAATAACTTCAAGTATTCTATAGCACAGTGGGGCAAATGCAGTTGGCAACAATTAATTGTGTATTTCAAAGTAGCTGGTAGAATTTAGAATGTTCCCAACACAAAGAAATGATAAAGATTAGAGGTGACGGATACACCAATTACCCTGATCATTCCAAGTATTGAAATGCCACAGGGTGCCATAAATATGTGTAATTATTAGGTGTCAATTCAAAATTATATA